TGTGTGTGTGTGAATGAACTTTTACTCTCACACAAGCATATTTAATCTCACAGTATCACATTTCTTACTTATATAACCCATCATTGACAGTGTCAGTGGTTCTAACGATGCTAACAACATTAGTCTGGGATAACAACATTTTCAGATCTGATTCCCAAACAGTGCAGTATTTTATAAATGACCTGAAAGCTTGAAGTAGTCCTGGAAGTATGAGTCACAGTCAGGTCTCCGACTATGATTAAGTGTACATGTATTGTAGCGTTCCCTTCCTGTCGAAGCCCAAAACATTAGTAGAAATTCTCATCAAAGCTTTGAATCCATTGTCTTTTTAAGGTCTGTGTGAAAAGCTTCCTCGCTCTCTCGTGTTCACAGAGCTTAAGTACGGGAAGGTTGAGGCAGTATGTGGGGAAGAACTTTTAGGTGATGTCTGTTGACTCACCAACTCCAACCCCCCCCCCCCCTTAGATGTTACTCTTTGTTCTAAGCTATAAAACTGTCTGAGGCCTTCCATTATACAGCAGATGTTACAGTCAGGCAGCTGTGAGAGCTTCGGGTGTGTAGAGAGAGCCGCGGTGGCTGTCACTCACCAATGCAGGTCTTGCTGTCCGAATGCAGGGCATACTTCTGGTGGCAGCCACACACAGGCCCCGTGTCTGTGTCGTTGCATGTGTGCTGGCAACCGCCGTTTCCATAGTTACAGGTCACTGAAGATAACAGACATCAGTTCTCTTTAGAGTTTATAATACAGGCCCAATGTTCATTTACTTGTTTATTTGTCTATATTTGTTTACGTTACTGACAACAAGTCAGCTTGACGTGAGAGAGAGGACAGAGAGAGAGCTAACGGATGAGGAGAATATGATGGGATGGTAGCAGAAAAAGGACAACAAGTAAAAAAGAGAGGGAGCGAAAAGTTATTACGGTGGAAGAAAGGGCGAGAGAGAGAAAACACATACTGAAGCATATGGAGGAGAGAGAGAGACGGGATCTAACGGACGGAGAGGAAACTGACTCAAATCATTTCCATAGCAGTTTCTATATGTTGCTGTTTCTGAAATGACCGCACATTTTAAAAACAAGAAACCATCAACATTTGTCTGCCTTTAAAAAAATCAACACCAGGGAAAATCCTGAAGAAAATGCTTTAGTGTAATAAACAGCTTCGATGTTTCAGGTTTCAAGTTCAGACTGCAGAAGCTGGCTCACTCATAGTCTCTAAAATAGTAGCGGTTAGGGTTTGGTCAGGTTTCTGTTCCTCGGCCCTCAGCAGCAAATAATAAATCAGCGATCAGCGTTCAGATGCAGCAATAATTAGAAACTAACCTCTGTGTTAAGATCTGATATGTTTTACTCTTTCATCCACCTCAGCCTGGATGGAAAGCTAGCTGTATGCCTCCACAATAACATCAGAGTACCTCCTTCTTATTTGCAGCAAGCATGATCACAGGAGCTTTGTCT